TTTACTTTTTGTTACCTATCACACCCTTGTCAGGAAAGTGACAGGGATCCAATACGCAGAGTGCGCACAGAATGAGGTACGTATACCGGACCTTAGAATGGCCGGACTAACGTAAGGACAAAGCAAGAATAGTCAAAAGGTAAGCCGAGGTCAAGGGAGCCGGAGGACAGGTAAGCGAGATACAAGCCGAGTCAAAGGAGAGGAGAGGACAACAGGACAAAAGACAAGCAAGGGTCAAAACCGGAAACACAAGATAAAGAACGCGCTGAGTGACTAGCAAGCTAGAACCACGACAGGGCAATGAGCAGTAGTAAAGGTTTCCTTTAAATACCCTGTTACCTAAATAGAGACCACGCCCCCAAAAGGTCCGGAATAGCGGTTCCCGGCACTTTATGCAAATGCCGACGTCATGACGTCGACGCTAGCCGTCGCGTCATAAAAGGGGGAGGAGCTAGCGCGGCCGGCGCGAAAACGGCCGGAATATGCCGAAATGCTAGGGGCAGGGAGGCCCTAAGCAGAAAGGATGTCCTCCCTGGATACATCACCAACAGGTACCCTGACAACCCTGAACTTTCATACTATACCATTAGTCGCCTCTACCTCTCTTGTATTTACATATACGAAACGGTCTACACCAGACGCATCCACAGAGGAACTCTATCAAGTATCCTAGACCATCTATTGGCACCCTAGCAATACTTTACTGGACTATCTACCCTTATTTGGCGCAGCCCTTCCATATCTTTTTGTATCTATCCACCGAAGGACCCAAGGGGTTTTCCTTCATTTGGGTTGCTGCCTACCTTGACTAATTTTGTGATTACTAGCGCTGAATTCTTTTTGTGTTTATCATTTTCTTAAATAACCCAGGTTCAATCCAACATAAAAATGTCTCAATATCTCCACAACATGGCTTTTCATAAGAATACCATGGAGAAAAAACTTTCTACATCAATATTCCAAGCCAAATAATATAAAAACATAAGAGCATCCACCAAGTCAAGATATGTGAAAAGCACATCCCTCCACCATCATAATTCCTCTCCATATTAATTAACAATATCCTAGTTTTTTGTTTTCAAAAAAGTTTATTAAACAATATTAAAATACTTTTTGGAACATTTGAAGGAATAGTCCTCATCAGATATTCCATCTTTACAATAAGTAAGACTGGATAGTGCCAATCTGCCTAACTAAGAAATAAATATGTTCCCCCTTTTTTTGAATAGTTGTCGTAAATACGATAACAAGTAATTTATTTTTCAATTGAACCAAGTAAACCAATACCTAGATTTTAATAACTCCAAATGTCCTTTCCCAATAGTTGCTGTAGTTTTACTATTAAGTTTATAATTTGAGTATAAACCATATTCTCTCAAAATTTCCAATAACACTGGTATAGATTTATTTAACAGTAAGAGTGAGCATAATGTCAGCCACGTCTAACATGATCTTACACTCTTTAGATGCCATTGAAATACTCCTAGTATCTAGTGATTGGCAGATATGTTCTGCCAGTGGTTCAATGGGGAACATATATAGCAATGGAGATAAAGGACAACATTGACATGTTCTATTATTACATCTGAACCTATCAATGTTCATACTTACACCCCACAATATTAGCAGATGGAATAGTATGTAAAGTTAAATTTAATTCTTTAATAAACCAGTAATACCAGAGCATTCTCAGACTTCAAAAGGAAATTGCCAATTAAAATGATTGAAAGCCTTTTATGTATTCAAGGCTATAAACACAGCAGGAACGGCAGCACTATTAATTTCAGATATGTTTACCAATTGACAAAAATGTTCTCCTCCATATCTCTTGGAAATAAAACCAACTTATGTATCAAATCAAGGATAACGCTTTTAGGCATTCTGCTAAGATTTTAGAGAACAGTTTAACATCAGTATTGATCAGATAGATTAGATTAGGCGATAGTTAGACACACAATTTTGATCTTTAACAGGTTTAAAAATAGGTCAAATTGTAGCCTTCCACATTTATAAAGGAAAGGGATTCATACTTATAATATCATTGAATAGTCTGAGTAACACTGGAGAAATCTTAGGCTTAAATAATTGTATAAAAATTGCTGACTATCTGTTTGGACATTGTCACAACATTTGCTTCCTTGGTAATTTGAACCCTCATATGGCAAACTTTCTTGCCATATGAGGGTATACTTCTTTCAGAATCCCAGTACTGAGTGCATGTGAAAGAGTAAATGTGATACTAAAATGTGTCATTAAATGTTAGTAAATAAGCATATTTAAGTTATATGCTTTATATTATTCTACCAAAATGGGTATTACAATATAAAAAGCAGGTAAGGTTCAATTTACAGTGTTAAAGCGGCACTGTGATGCCGAAACCCGTTTTTTTTTTAACCCCCCTCCCGCCTCCACTACATCCAATTGACCCACTAGTCACCCCCAAATGCCCCTAAGCCCCCCACATTACCTATTTTTTAATCCTTATTTTCTGCCCCGATCTTGATTCAGGGCGCCGCCATCTTTGTGTGGGTAGGTGAAGTCCCTGTGGGACACGTCATCAGCCCACACTAGGCAGACACTGAGATTCCCGCACATGCCCAGTGAAACACCTGGACATGCGAACGGGAATTTCATCTATTCATTCATTCATCAGACAGACGAATGAGTGAATAGAAAGATCAGCCGAACAAACAAACACAATGTATCAGTGTATCTGAGTATCAGTGTATGTTTGTTCGTGCAGTTTATTACAAGGAGGGAGCTACCGGCGTGCAGCTCCCTCCTTGTAATATGTAACTATAGAAGCGGCAGGGAGCAGTGCTCCCCACCACTTCATAAGCCCCCCAGTACCCCCTCTCACTCTATGGGGGTCAATATGACCCCCATAATAGCACAAGGGAGATTAAAATCTCCCAAATGCCCCTACTCGCTATACCGCGAGTAGGGGCATGTCTACTAAACAGTGAGCAGCCTGTGGCTGCTCACTGCTGGAAAAAAATAAATTACAATAAGGGGGGGCGGACCTATTGTCCTCCCCCCCTTGCCCCCACCCCCGAGCGGTGGGTGGGGGCCATGAAGAGGAGCTGGGGGGAGACCAACCTTTCTCAGCCACCTCTCGAGGTGGGGTAGTTCTAATAACAATACTGCTCCTTCCTTCTCTTCTGCTCCTCACGGCAAGGGGTGGGTGGGAATTTGTGCAAAATACAGGGGATCTTACGTCCTTCTCTCGGTTTCACTTCGAGCTGGTGGGCAGTAAACACAGGGGGATCTACTGTCTTCCTTCTGCCTCACCCCGCCGTTGGTGGGGTTCTAATAAAATATTAGACCTACTGCTTCGGCTCCCTCATTTCGGGAGCGGTGGGGCCCCAGTAAAACAATAAGGGGGGGGACCTACTGTCCTCCCCCCCTGGCCCCCACCCTTGCGCGGTGGGTGGGGGCCCCAATAAAACAATAAGGGGGGGGACCTACTGTCCTCCCCCCCCTGGCCCCCACCCCTGAGCGGTGGGTGTTGGCCCTAATAAAACAATAAGGGGGGGGGACCTACTGTCCTCCCCCCCTGGCCCCCACCCCTGCGCGGTGGGTGGGGGCCCTAATAAAACAATAAGGGGGGGACCTACAAGCCACCCAATCAGAGTGCTCTGTGTCATTTTACACAGCGTGGGAAAGTTCTTTTGAATTTTCCCACACTGTGTAAAATGACTCATAACACTCTGATTGGGTGGCTTTCAAGCCACCCAATCAGAGTGCTCTGTGTCATTTTACACAGTGTGGGAAAGTTCTTTTGAATTTTCCCACGCTGTGTAAAATGACTCAAAGCACTCTGATTGGCTTAAACCCACCAATCAGAGTGTTCTAAGCCTAATTGCAGGGCGGGGCAAGGCTTTATAAGCCTTGACCCGCCCTGCGGAGCTCAGTATGCGGCGTGCCCTCGAAGGGCGAACATGGATTATTTTTTTTTTCTTTTTTTTTTTAAAGTGCGACGGGTGTAATGGATTTTTATTTGGCCTTTTTGGGGGCTGAAGAAAGAAGATTTTAGAAAAAAGAAGACGTCAAATGGTAAGTTTAATTTTTTTTTTTTTTACAGGTTAGTTATTTTATTCCCCCCTCACCATTTGTAGGGTGAGGGGGGTAGGTAGGGGATAGGTTTTTTTGGGTGGGGGCTGGTGACTAGGGGCTTGGGACCCCTAGTCACCTTGATTGGGGTAGCCATTTAGTCCCCCACCCAACGCTTCTCAGGGTGGGGCCGGGGAGACAGTAGGTTCCCCCTATTGTTTTACTAGGGCCCCACCCACCGCTTCTCAGGGAGTAATGGGGAGAGGACAGGTCCCCCCCCCCCTTATTGTTTTCTTAGGGCCCCCACCCACCGCTCAGGGGTGGGGGCCGGGGGGAGGACAGTAGGTCCCCCCCCTTATTGTTTTAATAGGGCCCCCACCCACCGCGCAGGGAGGACAGTAGGTCCCCCCCCCTATTGTTTTAATAGGGCCCCCACCCACCGCTCAGGGGTGGGGGCCGGGGGGGAGGACAGTAGGTTCCCCCCCTATTGTTTTACTAGGGCCCCCACCCACCGCTCAGGGGTGGGGGCCAGGGGGGGAAGGACAGTAGGTCCCCCTCCCTTATTGCTTTACTGGGGCCCCCACCCACCGCTCAGGGGTGGGGGCCGGGGGGGGAGGACAGTAGGTCCCCCCCCCTTATTGTTTTACTAGGGCCCCCACCCACCGCTCAGGGGTGGGGGCCAAGGGGGGAGGACAGTAGGTCCCCCCCCTTATTGTTTTATTAGGGCCCCCACCCACCGCGCAGGGGTGGGGGCCAGGGGGGGGACAGAAGTTCCCCCCCATATCTTTATTTAGGGCCCCCACCCACCGCTCAGGGGTGGGGGCCAGGTTCCCCCCATCTTTATTTAGGGCCCCCACGGGCATGGGGGTTATTAGTTTTTGTTTTTTTTTACAGTGAGCAGCTATAAGCTGCTCACTGCTTACTACACATGCCCCTACTCGCGGTATAGCGAGTAGGGGCATTTAATTTACTAATACTAAGTAATTTTTACTCAGTATTAGTAAAGTTGGCTGAAAGACCAATTTAGGTCTTTCAGCCTTTTAGTAGATAGCTCCCTGATACCGTGGGAATTAGGGAGTTATCTACTAAGCGGCTGCAAGATGCAGCCACAGCAATGAATAGGATCGGAGTTTCATTCATTAGAATGAAATTCTGATCCGAATAAAGTGCCGAATTGCGTTCTAAAAGAAACGAACATACTGTTGTCATTCAGTTAGAACGCAATTCGGCAGTTTAGTGTAAAGTGACAGGAAGCATCGTGGGAACACAGAGGGAAGGTAAGGATCATGGGAAAATTGCTCTGACCAGCGGAAATGAAGCACACTTTGCTCCTCCGCTGGTCAGAGCTGGTCAAGCGGAGGAATCCTCCATAAGGCAAAGAGTCCCTACTTTGTCTTATGATTTTAAAGAAAACTAAAGAAGACAGGAAGAAAAGAATAACAGATCCCGAGAGAGGGGGAGAAGAGGAAGAGATTGAGGAAAGGTAAGTTTGGCATGACAGTGCCGCTTTAAAGAGGACCAAGTCCAATATTATAAATATGCAAGACTTGATGTGTATAAAGT